GAATATTTTAAATTAGCTTTTTCACAGTGTTCAAATCACGCAGAAAGAAATTTGTCAGACAATGCCACTGCTAATTATCACTCTTAAAGGGAAGCAACTCTACCAAATTGGAGATATTCCCACAATCAATGACAATTTAAAAAATATTGATAAAATGTTTTTAAAAATCATTTTATATTAATTTTTTAAAATTTGAAATAATTGTTTAAAAAATTTAAGAGCATTTCATTTAACGTTTTGTTAAACTATTATATTCTTTTATTCTTGTAAAAACTGTATATAAATTGTATACATCTAAAAATGAGGTGGCACCTGAACATTACCTGTGAATGATAATAATCAGAGATTAAGTAATCTATTTGAGGAGTTAATGATGGCGCTGGAATATTATTTCTGTAGTGTTCAGGTTAGACTACATTTGTTGTCTCAGTTTTAGTAGCGCTTTTGACGGTGTTTCAAATTAGCTGTAAAGACAATCACGTAAGATTGATTTACGCCTTTAAATTGTTGTACTACATCTATAGTAAAAACTACCTCTGAGACTAATTCTATTAGCGCCATTGACCGTTGTCCTACATTTGTAGTAAAGACTACCAGTTCGGCCTGTTATCTAAATATTGTAGAGGCCTGATTGTAACGAGTACAAGGACAGTTGTTACAATTCTTACACCAAAATGTCTCTGTTATCTGGCTAAAGAGTTGCATTATAGAGCCGTGCGTCTCCAACCATTGGCCTATGGGATAAGGTGTTTGTTCTAACGATATTTATGTAGAGTTTGGAGTTTATCGTTGTTACCATGGTAACATCTGTGTAGATTTGGGAGTTCATCATTGTTACCACGGTAACCATACTCGTATAAGATTTGGACTTAAATTCAACTCTCGTAATAATCCAGCCGTTGTTATAAATGTAAATTAAAAGATCTTAGTATCCTAGTATAGGGCTGGTAAGTAGGTCACCAACCAGTTCTATGACTCAATAAAACCTGCTTGTGCCATAGAACTGTTTATTGACCTACTTACCAGTCCAATAACGCCTTATTGAAGCTTTGAAATCATTGAACTTGTGTTCAGCAAGTTCACACCTATTGATAAATAAACGTCTTAATACTACCCATAGCCACAGAACATCTGTTGCGCACGGGTTTATCGTGTACACAGGCCATTAAAAAGTTCTAAATAGACTCTTGAATTTTGACGCGAACCTTCAGATTGCGTCAAAACACAGGGCCTATAATCAATTCATTGACAGTTTACACGATATAGAAAAGGGGGATAAATCCGTATCAGGGAAGTGGCGATAAAGTTCAGTCAAATCAAAACATTGCATTAGGGGTGTTGAGGTTTAGCAAAATAAATAGATGAAAATATAATAAATATTTGCCCTCACTCTTTCATATAAAATAATGCGAATGTATTGCTTCATATCGCTATCTCTGCGAACAAGTATAAACCTTTTAATTCAAATTTGAGGTATCTATTGTTTATTAATGCGATATATATATATATATATATATATATATATATATATATATATATATATGTATATATATATATATATATATATATATATGTATATATATATATATGTATATATATATATATATATATATATATATAGACTATAAATATATGTATATATATATATATATATATATATATATATATATATATATATATATATATATATATATATATATATATATATATATATATATATATATATATATATATATATATATATATATATATATATATATATATATATATATATATATATATATATATATATATATATATATATATATATATATATATTTATATTTATATATATTTATATATATATTCTTTATACACGTGAAGTATCTATGGTTTATAAATATGATGCATCTATTGTTTATACACGTGATCCATCTATTGTTTATTAAAGTGATGTATCTGTTTATATATGTGATCTATCTATTGTTTATATATGAGATGTTTTTACTATTTATCCATTAAACGTTTTAAAAAAATTAGCAGGGTAAGAAGAATGAATAAAAAATATATGTTTTCATTTCTTTTCTTCACGAAAATTGGTTAAATACCACTAGAGGTTAGATTTCGCGTGTAAAAATTAAATGATCGATTACATCCACGTTGATTAGCGTAACTGTGGTTTTACACGTTATTATTTTACATCTTTTTACACCTACCTTTTTTGGGGTGAGGTGTGTGTGTGTGTGTGTATGGGGGGGGGGGGTAGGGGGTAGAGTATGCAGCCCAAAACAGCTACCACTTGAAATCAGACAAAAGACACATCATTTGGTGCTTTAAGCATGTCGAGAAACATTAAATACAACATAATGTTTATGGTTTGTCATGATATTCACAGTTATTCTGTATGCAGGTGCTTTCCCTTTAGTAAACAACACTTACTTCCCTTTATCTACACTTTACATATCTTATTATTCAACTTCTTTATGTCAGTATATAATTTTTTAAATATATTTTTCTGTAGGGCTTGCCTCAAGCTAGATAAGACATGAGACACGGTCTTGGTGTTGGCTCAGAAGAGTACTGGCACTTGTGTTCTATATTCTTTTGAAAATGGGAGATAACTGAGCGAGAAAATGGCGACATCAGAGAAGGAAGATTTTGAGCAAGTCATGAAAGACTTGGATCAGCAGGAGACCATAGCTGTGTTGAGAAATAAGAATATTTTCATGCCAGGAAAAACGGCGGATCCTGTCAGTCGGTAGGTTTGAGTTTTTTTTCCTCGTGTGTTAGATATTTGATACAATATGGGCAAAATGTATAGGAAATAAACCGGGAGTGATCTCCCCTAAACTTTCTCGAATATTCTTATATAAAACAACAGAGGATGGGTACTCCATTTTAAATACTTAACCTTTTAAAAATAGAATAAAATCTCGTAGAAAAAAAGAATTGCGCATCAAGTGAACGCCAAATAAAGATGTGCATAATAGTGCGCAATATTATTAGTACTTTATAAATTTACATGCGTTTTTTTAAAAATCGGAAATAGCGTAAATTAGTACTTCCGGTCAACGGAAATTACTCAAAATTTGACAGAAGGTAGAGAATTATCTTTTACTTACATGTGAAATTTCATTTATCTATCTGAAATAGTACTCAAGTTATAGGCTTTTGAAAAATTCAAAGTAGAAAAAGTACCACTTCCGGTTATCGGAAATCGCTCAACAGTTGATACGGATCTACGATTTTTATAAAATACTTATATATGAAATTTCATCAACCTAGCTTTAACGGTACTCAAGTTATTGTGTTTACACACAGACAGACAAACACACAGACAGACAGACACACAGACACACGGACAAGATTGCAAAATTATGTTTTTCCGTATCAGTGAGATGTACGATTACAAGACTTTCTCTAAACTTCGTATATACGAGAAAGTAAAAAAGGTAGGACATTTAGTACAATTGGGAAGAAAATATGTAGGACAAAAGGTAGGACATTTGGTACAATCGTAAAGAAAATATGTAGGACAAAAGGTAGGACATTTGGTACATTGGGGGAAAATATGTAGGACAAAAGGTAGGACATTTGGTACATTGGGGGAAAATATGTAGGACAAAAGATAGGACATTTGGTACAATTGGGAAGAAAATATGTAGGACAAAAGGTAGGACATTTGGTACAATTGGGAAGAAAATATGTAGGACAAAATGTAGGACATTTGGTACAATTTTGGGGGAAATATGTAGGACAAAAAGTAGGACATTTGGTACAATTTTGGGGAAAATATGTAGGACAAAAGGTAGGACATTTGGTACAATTTTGGGGAAAATATGTAGGACAAAAGGTAGGACATTTGGTACAATTTTGGGGAAAATATGTAGGACAAAAGGTAGGACATTTGGTACAATTTTGGGGAAAATATGTAGGACAAAAGGTAGGACATTTGGTAAAATTTTGGGGAAAATATGTAGGACAAAATGTAGGACATTTGGTACAATTTTGGGGAAAATATGTAGGACAAAAGGTAGGACATTTGGTACAATTTTGGGGAAAATATGTAGTAGTACTAGTGGATAGCGAAAGGTGAGCGAGGCGTTACAAAAGAACAGCGGTTTGATCGTGCTAGCCATCTAATAACAAACGACTTTGTTAAAAACAGCATTTCTAGGTTACCGATTTACTTTGTTATCTGGGCTCCCGTCTTACCAATTTGAAAAAAAAAACAAATGCAATTTTTAATTAATTGAGAATTTGTTGAAATCGCTTGAGTGAGTGACGAATAATAGAATTGTTCAAGATTGAAAATGTAACAATTTTGACCCAAGTCAGAAAAGTATACCTGGTCTTATCTCTAATTACAAATTATTTTCAAGCTGATGTTTGTTAATTGATAGAAATTTAGAGTGTTTTAATTATTATTAATTATTAACAAAAGACTTTAAAAGTGTAAACCTGCAAACACATGGACGCACTTATACACACACACACACACACACACACACACACACACACACACACACACACACACACACACACACACACATACATACATACATACATACATATATATATATATATATATATATATATATATATATATATATATATATATATATATATATATATATATATATGCATATATATGAGATCATATATCACATGAATAGGGTAAGGTTTATTGCTAGAGATTGGGTAAGGATTAATTTAGTTTTATTCTAATACTTACAGGAGTTGATTTTTAACAAAGATAGCGACATATATAATACAATGTGCTGCTAGATCCGACAACAATGTCCTTCTTTCTTCTGCAGAGTTACAAATGTTACTCTATTTCCTAGTGTCATTAACTTAAACGTTATCGACGTTCAAAACGTATCCATCGCCATGGGCCTTAACTCTAATCCTAACATTACCAGCGAAAGCCGCATAGAAAAAAATCTGTGCCATCCAGTAATACCCAACCATCAACAAAACACTACTATTTTATTATTTTATAAACCCCATAGCATTTTTACGGCTTACCCTGAACACCGTAGGCACTTAAAATATTTTAGCCCAGTTAGGTACAATTTATTATAGAGTGGCTGCTCGTTTCAGTCCAATTTACCTGCATCGCTCTCTCTATACTTTTTACAACTTGCTAAATTAAAGGGAAACAAGTCCTACACAAGGGAGATAAGAATAATGTTTAAAAGAAATTATTACTATGATTTTGATATTCTTTCGTGATAAAGTAAATAGGGGCAATACACTGTTTGTTTTTAAATATTATCAACAAATAATTCATAAGTAAAATTTCGACGTGAAGGATTTAACTGTTTTTTTATTATAATTAATAGCTGTATAAGGTCAGACTCAATTTATAAACAGTAAAGGTGTGCAGTACCGATGCATTATTTAGCTATTAAAGTCCTCTTACAGTGTTGTTATTGTCGCCTCTTTACATATGGGAAATTTTTGTTTTCTTATAAATTGATCAATTATATACATTAACCAAAATTGACTACATGTGCATAGTACAGGGGTCGGCAACCTGCGGCTCGCGAGCCGCATGCGGCTCTTTTGATATCAAGATGCGGCTCTCCAGCTCCTTACACAAATCTTAATAATCTTAATAAAAAAATAAAATATTTGAAATAAAAAAATGTTAGTGGCTCTTTAAAACCAGGGAAATTTTGAAAATTGTAACTTTTGGCTCTTCCGCTTCAAAAGGTTGCCGACCCCTGACATAGTAGCAGACTTAAACTTATCTCCATGAATTATGCAAAAAATTAAAGTGTACTAGTATGATTGCTTTGTATTTGCGCTTTTTGCTGTTTGCGCACTTTTCTGATTTCTCATTGGGTGGCAAAAAAAAAAAAAAAAAAAACCACATTTCTATAGTTGTAAGTAATGCATGTTAAAAATACCATCAAAAGAAAAATGTCTGAGGCAAAAAAGAAAAAGAAAAGAGGTAGATTTTGACCTATATTACTAGTACTCTAAGTCAAATAGATCTAATCGCACTTTCAAAATTCTGAAACCAGAAAGAAAAAAACCCTCACATTTATGACTTACGCGGATGATAAAAATCATCCAAAGCTCCTACTTGGGTAACAAAAAAATGACCCATTGTAATGTTTCCCTCATCACTGCTACGTTGACTAATGAAAATATAACGGACACATAAACTAATATGTAATAAAACATATGCACTTAAAAAAAAATCAAACTGAAGTTGAAGTAACGCCTACGCGGCTGACGAAATGATATATAATGCTACTGCACACTGTGGGGGGGGGGGGGGGGTGGTTAGGGGGGTTCCTTCCTGTACTGAAAGACGTCCTTTTTATCAATAAAAAAAAATTAGCTATAAATCTGACAGCTGGATTACATAATTGTGTAGGCTATTTCTACACAACACAAATCATTTCTGTAGACAAATGACAATTACACAAGATGTTTTATCAGTCAGTCTCTTCTTGCTTAACTGACTCATTCTTTTTTTTTCAATACAAAACTTTATTCTTCTTTATTCTTAATTGAAATGTTGGATGTGATTTCCTCCAACACAATGCAACTAGTGTTACAAGTCAACTTGTTATGCGCCGTATAAGCCTTTGACTCCGATTACAGCCTGCTTTGTTTTCTGGATTTGCTTCTATTGTCTTTTAACAACCAAGAACAAACTACAAGGCAGCAGTTGTTTGATGTTGTCGATGTCTCTCCTAGATGGAACCCGTGGGTTCGAACCCGGGACTTCTCGGTTTAGCAACCATGAGATTTACCGACCCAGCAACGACAACTAAATTTACGTCCTCAATTACCCATCCCAAATGTACCCCCCCTATAAGATGTATATTTGCCTGCTCATACGCCAAAATATGGAATAACAAACCAAACTACATCCAACAATCCAATACAGAAAAATACAAAATAAACGCTTTTTTTCCCCAAAATACTATGCTATTCTACATCTTAATTTAAACCTGGCTTCACTAATCGAGCCCTAAACTTTCACCTCTGACTCTGACCCATCACTACCTCCCCCCGTATACTGTAATACTGCATCTCTTAATTCAAGGATGGCATCGCTAACTCAACTCTCAACTTCCACCTCTGATCCGCCGAGCCCTAAACTTTGACCTCTGACCCGCCGACCTGTGTCGTAACCCCCCCCCCCCCCCCCCCTCCATGTAACAAACGTCTTTTCTCCTCCAGACGACCCGACACATTCCAGAAACAACCCCGCCGACCCCACCCCTCTCACCGACAAAACTAGTTCCGGCTGTTAAGAACAAGGCTCTGTCTTCTGCTACACACACAAAAACAACAAACAAACAAATATTCATTTAGACTACTACGCTTCTGTAAAATTTATTTCTGTTTTTTGTTTATTTTTTTTTAAACTGTCAAGCTATTATCCAACACCCCATTTTAACAATTTGATACATGTTTCGATACACATCTCATGGTATTTTAAACGACACTGCTATTAAAAGCTAACAGCTGACGTAAAACGCATCCAGTTGTAAAGCGATTCGTCAGTCACCGTAAGATAAATGTTTATGTATTACTAAAGGGCCGCCACTCCGAACTAGGGCAGGAGTTAGTTGTGTGGGGTATTTAACTAGTATAAGCGGATTTCGTGGAAGCAACTGTATGGATATTTTATATGTAGCTTTATGGGTTTGACTTGTGGCGAAAACAAACTAGCATTTGTGTTGAAATTGATGTGTGTTGCGACAGGTTTATGTTCGATACCGGTAA